GAGATGTCGTTCGGAAGTGACATCTCTAGTGCTATCCCGAGCGCACAGCGACTACAGAGAGAGGCTTTGTTTACTTGTACCTAGTGGTACAAGCTGGTGTCTCTCAAAGTCAAAGGTTGCTATCCTTTAAGACCTGCTGTCCATGTATGCCGGCCTCCACCGTTGCCCCTCCTTATCCGGTGCAAATAATAGAAATAAGCCCCGGGGTCGACGCCATATTTTGGCTGCACCCGGGCGCTTGGGCGTGGTTTTGCAACGCGCCGAAGGGGGATCCACCATGAAAGAAGGAGGGCGTACTAGGTACACATTGGAGTTCAATCTGCAGTTGGAAAGCTTATCAATTTGTTAGAGGAACAACCACAAAAATTAAATTTATTAGTTAACATTGATGGTTTACCTCTTAACAAAAGTTTTAACACTCAAATATATCCCATATTATGCTCAATATATGAATATCCTCAATATATAAGAGTGATAGGTGTATATCATGGTTATGAAAAGTAACATAAATGATTTCTTAGAAGACTTTACAGTAGAAGCTATAAAATTATCAGAAGAAGGTTTTATTTATAAAAACCATATGATACCATTTGCAATTAAAGCATTAATTTATAATGCTCCAGCAAAATCACTTATTACTTATTGTAAAGACCATACTGGATTTTTTTCATGTACAAAATGTACGCATAAAGGAAAATATATAAAAGGAAGAGTATGTTATTCTAAAATTAATTGTGTTAAAAGAACCGATGAAAATTTTCATAACAGAATCCAATCAGAACATCGTATAGGTCAGAGCTCGGCAAAAAATGCACGCGACGGCCGATTTTCGACTATCTCCGCCCATCACTGTTCCCTTTACCTCGCCACTCCGCATGCTGCCTACAAGCCGCTCGAGCCTCAGGAGCGTGTTTCCAACAGTTTTCCACGTCACCCATGAGGTACTATTGTTGACGCGTTTTTTTTTAAGTGGTATCCCCAGTAGGCCTAATCCACTAATAACTGTAACAAACCGTAACTAATTGAACAGAAGCGAAATAAAATATGTTAAATGAAGAATATTTAATTCGATTTTCGGCGTCTTTTATTAGTAAGAGCGGAAACGTCAATTTGCATATTGCATGTAGCGAGCCGCATAAGACGTGGTAAGGAATCGTCGTTTAAAGAAGAACGCTTCTCATTTTTTATAAACTTCATTTTCAAAAATTATAGATTATAGATTATAGATTATAGAATTATAGATTAGGCCTACTGGGGATACCACTTAAAATAAAACGCGTCACCAATAGTACCTCATGGGTGACGTGGAAAACTGTTGGAAACACACTCCTGAGGCTCGAGCGGCTTGTAGGCAGCATGCGGAGTGGCGTGGTAAAGGGAACAGCGGTGGGCGGAGATAGTCGAAAATCGGCCGTCGCGTGCATTTTTTGCCGAGCTCTGGTATAGGTCATTCAATTTTAGAAAGAATACTTTTAAATGATATGATTAGTAGTTTTCCTTTAGAATATATGTGTTCCTTGGTGTGCCATTCAGTATGCCTTGGTGTAATAAAAGAACCGATTTGGATATGGAACTTTCGATCCAAATTGGATATGGATTTTTCGATAAAATAAATTCTCTCGTTGGACCATCGGCTATGATTTAAAATTGCACCAAAAGTAAATGGCAACACTGTTTTGCAAACAACTGTACAATTTAGATAATTTGTCTTTCAAACATTCTATGAACATTCTATGAACATTTTTGACATAGTATCAATAATCTTCTTCGGATGTTATTTGAATATATTACTGCATGTTCTCTTCATATATATAAAATATTAAAACTAGTCTCATTTTAACATTTTATATATATGCATAAAATACTTTTTTCATCTTATCGGTGTATTGTGCGAATATTCTAATGTTCTCGAAAAATATTTATATATTTATAGAATATATTTGTGTTATATGGGTAAAATAAGATATGCGATATTTTTAAGGATCTTTGAGATTTGATGACATTATTATCCTCAAGAATCTTATGTGTAACGTAAACTGTAGATTTTCGTACAAAAAATTGTTCATATAATATATATGTATATTAGCCTTTACGAAAAAAAACCCTCAATTTTGGGTGTTAGCACTCAAAAAGCATTTAACTTTGGGTGTTAAACTGATAAAAGACGCTCAACTTTGAGTGTTATACACCGAATGAACGCTCAATTTTGAATGTTACACCGAAAAAACACTCAAATTGGGTGTGATTTCAGATCGTCAATTGAAGATTACACTCAAATAAGGGTTAACGCTCAACGAAAACCCTCAAAATAACACCCAAGAAAACTCTCAAAAGAACACCCAAATATTCACATTCACATTTTTTACCCTATATTTCTTATCTACACATACACAAATACATGTATAAATACATACATGTGTAAATACATATACATGTCCAAAAAACATTTTAGAAATATATCTCTAAAATGTTTTTCGGACATTGTATATATTTGGGTATAAGCCATATTATCATTATATATGTCTTTTCTCCCCTTATTTTTCCCCAAAACACACCTCACACACCTTTATGCTCGCGACCGTACAGTCGCGGACATAATAATGTGTGCCTGTCTTTTTGCAACTTTCGGAACGCATCCAGACTCGCGAAAAATGAGAGTTACTGCTCCGCCTGCGGAGCACGCCTGCGCAGTGACTCACAACGAAAGGCGAGAAATGAAATATACACGGTGGGACATATTATAATAATACAGACTCAGATGAAATGAATACTCCAGCATTAAATGGAAATGAGCGAACACAGAACAGACAAGAATCATCCGATATAAGTCTTATACTCCGGGAAACATCTGAAAAAGGGAAAAAAACATATTTATATTTTTAAAACAATACGGACTTAATTAAGAGAATTAAGCTGTATTACGATACCCAGACAGCACACGGATGTCCATTGGACGTCTATTATATGTTCATTTTTTTTACAAAAGACGTCCATAGGACGTACATTTGTCACAACTTCGGACATAGGACGTCCGATGGACGTCCTACAGGTCCGATGTTATAAGATATCAGACCGCGGGAAAGAGTTAGTGTTGCCATCTGTTATAAGCAACATATCTGGCAATAATAACCGCGCGACCTCTGAGAGAATTATATATATATTCGGAGACAAGAAGGAAGAGAGAGATTAGACGATTATTATTGGATTCAGTTAGTATTCTAGCATTCGAGCTTTTTAGCTTTTTCGGTTTATAGCCTTAGCTCTTTCAATCGTGCTGCTCTTTCGGCTTTTTGGCTATTATTAAATCGTCTTTGCCTTTGTCTTCTGCGCTCTTCGTTTATTGGATCTTATTTTATAATCCGTGAGCTTCGAGGCTTTCACATTCTGTACTTCCGGACGTTGGTCATCGCGAGGCGAGTGCCCAAATCTACTATTGGCGGACGTGGTTCTGACACGACCTGAGGAGATTACCAGGTTGTAGAATGTAATGAGGTACAGAGGAATAAATTACTACGCACTATTGTTAATAAATCATTTATCAGTCTTTCTTCCAAGCGGAAATCATTCTGACAAGTAAAAGTATCATTGTGATACAAATAAAAGATCTATTAACAGCTACACATATCCTACAGATGTCCAATAAGGACATCCTTGTTACGTCCAATTTATGTCCACAGACGTAAATTACGTCTGGACATATGGACATAAATTGGACGTGAAACGTACATCCATTGGATGTCCGGTGCTGTCTGGGTAGTTACGATTCTGTTATACATTTATATGTGATTTATTATTTATGCCTGAAAAATAAGAAATTATGTTAAATAACAAATAGCGTGAACAATATCATTAAAACGCAAGATGATAGTAAACATTACTTTATTTGGTTTGATATTCGTATTTGCATCATAAATTTCATCCTCTCCATCTCCTTCTTTCTCTTCCATGTCCATGTCTATATGTCCCAAAAATTCAAAGTTCGCCATAACAGCTGCTTCTGTATCTAATATCATTGCTTCTGCTATAAAAGATGGCTGTTGCTGAAACAATAAATTACATATAAATGTATAACAGAATCGTAACTATCGTAATGCAGCTTAATTTTCTTAATTAAGTTCGTATTGTTTCAAAAACATATACATGTTTATTTATTTCTATCTTTTTCGGATGTCCCCCGAGATATAAGACTTACATCGGATGATTCTTGTCTGTTCTGTGTTCCCTCATTTTCATTTAAAGCTGGAGTATTCATTTTATCTGAATCTGTATTATTATAATACGTCCCACCGCGTATATTTCATTTCTCGCCTTTCGTTGTGAGTCACTGCGCAGGTGTGCTCCGGAGGTGGAGCAGTGACTCTCATTCTTCTCGAGTCGGGATGCGTTCCGAAAGTTGCAAAAAAACGGGCACACATTGTTATGTCCGTGACCGTATAGTTTTAAGTCACCATAACATCATTTTAATATCAAAAAACATCACCAAACCATCACGAAAACTATATCGAATGACATCATCTTGATTTGTCTTAAAATGACTTTTTTTTATATCATAATTTTATTATTATGATTTTTTTATTCTACCTGGGATACCTGTAATAGTTGTCTACCTGGGGATAGTTGTAATAGTGATAACAATATGATGGTAGTAGTAATGATAATAGCAATAATAATAATAAAAATGACATTATTGTAAGAATAGTGGCAGGGTTACGCGTTGATTGCTATTTTGAATATAGTTATTTTTATAATATATATTGAACGAGAGAGAGAGAGAGAGAGAGAGAGAGAGAGAGAGAGAGAGAGAGAGAGAGAGAGAGAGAGAGAGAGAGAGAGAGAGAGAGAGAGGGTTGGCAGAAATGCCATAGAGGACGCTACTGTAGGCTTTATCAGTGAATTTGGTAGAGTTTGGACACAGTATAAGTATACACAGTATTGACACTGAACTTTTTTAGTGGTATTCATTTTCCAGTGCGTACGCGTCGCTCTATCCTACCAGGAACATGGCAGCCGCCATAGATGACGCATTTAGGTTAAATGTTTGATATACATATGTTTATTTGTATGTGATATACCAATAAATCTTTGGTACAAATAAAAGAAATTGTTACAAAATATTAACAAAATGATTCGAGGTGGGCATAGTTGTGCCATGTATAAATGCCCGAATATTTCAAGACGAATACCTGGGTTAAGCTTTTTTCGTTTCCCGAAGGATAGAAAGGTAAAAATAATAATTTTTTATTAATTTTACATATTTGTTTTGGAATTGCCTAAAAGTCTAACTTATACAGGGTGTTTGATAGCTGATCATGCAGACGAAAGTTGGAGATAGATTTGGGTGTAGCCGAGAAGAAAAGTCATGTACCATAATGTCAAATTGGCAATAGTTATCGAGTTATTAATTAAAACATGTGAGCCAACGAGCGCGTAGAGAGCGAAGGGCGATCGCAGTAAGATCATAGATATTTGATACAGGTGGAGTCAGCGAGTAACGGTAGGCGAGCGCGCGCGGCGAGGGGCAACGTAAACAACAAGAGGCAAACGCGCGCGACGAGAAGCGAGCGAGCGCGAACGACGAGGAGCGAGCGAGCACAAGCGACAAGAGGCGAGCGAGCGCGACGAAGAGCGAGCGAGCGCGAACGACGAGGAGCGAGCGAGCTATAAGGAAAAACCTATAAAGAAAAAGCTCGCTCGTTCCTCGTCGCGCGCGTTCGCCTCTTGTCGCTTACGTTGCCCCTCGCCGCGCGCGCTTGCCTATCACCACTCGCTGATTCCGCCTGTATCAAATGTCTACGTGCTTACTGCGGCCGCCCTCCGCTGTCTACACGCTCGTTGGCTCACATGTTTTAATTAATAACTCGGTAACTATTGCCAATTTGACATTATGGTACATGACCTTTCTTCTCGGCTACACGCAATCTATCTCCAACTTTCGTCTGCATGATCAGTTATCAAACACCCTGTATACACTCAAACGCAAAAAACCCGGTACACTAAAAATTTGGGAAAAAATTACAAAATTTCAAATGATCATAACTTGGTAAATAATGAAGATACAAATATGCGCAGAAATGCAAAATGAAGCTTGAAACGTCCTCTTTAAGAATATCTGAATGGCAATTACGCTCGGCCATTTTTTTCAAAATGGCGGATGATAAAGTGAGAGGATGCAAAATTGATAATCAAAGGTCCGTGTTTGCGATGGTGCATGGTGTGCATCAGGTATCGCAGCGTAATGGGACCAAATGCACATGAAAGTATAGTATTATCTTTAAAATGCTACTTTACCGAGCTCGATGTGATCATTTTTCACTGAGTTGTTCCAAATTTTGCTAAAAATGCGGTTTTCTTGTTAAATTTGCATAATTCAGTGAATAAGTATCGCATCAAGCTCTATAACGAAGTATTTTAAAGAAAACATTCTATACTTTTAGGTACTTTTCGTCCCATTGAGCTGCGACACTTACTTTGCTCCATGCGCCGTAGCACGCTCGAACCTTTTTTTAGCAACTTTTCATGTTCTCCTTTTATCACCCACCATTTTGAAAAAATATCGTTGCGCACAATTTCGATAGATCTTTCGAAAAGTACGGTTTCAAAGCTTTCAAACCGTTTTTGAAATTTGCTGCTAGGATATTTAGGTGTCGAGATATTCAATTTCGAATTTGCAACAAATGTCGATTCAGCGAGGCTTAAGGGGCTAAGAGGCTCTGCGGTTCGTTTGGCTCTTTCATAATTTCAATAGCTGTGTTTATGTTTCTCTATATAATAATTTACATAACCTGCACAATATATTCAATGATTTGCATTTATTATTTTGAAAGCCAGGGAAATGAAAGTAAAATTCAATTTAGGTTCTTCATTTTGCGTAATCGATATTACGTAATAAAGATGAATTGCGTTTTAAAATACCGCTGTCATTAGCTCAAATTATGGTTGTAAGTCTTCCCAATATAAACCGCATGGAGTTTTACTGGTAGGAAAAGTCCCATTGTATGTAGTGTGTGCGTGTGTGTGTGTGTGTGTGCGTGCGTGTGTGCGTGCGTGCGTGTGTGCGTGTGTGCGTGCGTGTGTGCGTGTGTGCGTGTGTGCGTGTGTGTGTGCGTGTGTGCGTGTGTGTGTGTGTGTGTGTGTGTGTGTGTGGTATTACAGCAGAGATAAGGACCCCGCAGTTCGTCACTCCTGCAGTAATTAATGACTCCAAACCCTCTCTGCTGTGTGTGTGGTGTGTGTGTACTAATAGTGGATATGACTGCCTCGTGCGCGACGAATAATGAACGTGGCTATTGAAATTATGAAAGAGCCAAACGAACCGCAGAGCCTCTTAGCCCCTTAAGCCTCGCTGAATCGACATTTGTTGCAAATTCGAAATTGAATATCTCGACACCTAAATATCCTAGCAGCAAATTTCAAAAACGGTTTGAAAGCTTTGAAACCGTACTTTTCGAAAGATCTATCGAAATTGTGCGCAACGATATTTTTTCAAAATGGCGGGTGATAAAAGGAGAACATGAAAAGTTGCTAAAAAAAGGTTCGAGCGTGCTACGGCGCATGGAGCAAAGTAAGTGTCGCAGCTCAATGGGACGAAAAGTACCTAAAAGTATAGAATGTTTTCTTTAAAATACTTCGTTATAGAGCTTGATGCGATACTTATTCACTGAATTATGCAAATTTAACAAGAAAACCGCATTTTTAGCAAAATTTGGAACAACTCAGTGAAAAATGATCACATCGAGCTCGGTAAAGTAGCATTTTAAAGATAATACTATACTTTCATGTGCATTTGGTCCCATTACGCTGCGATACCTGATGCACACCATGCACCATCGCAAACACGGACCTTTGATTATCAATTTTGCATCCTCTCACTTTATCATCCGCCATTTTGAAAAAAATGGCCGAGCGTAATTGCCATTCAGATATTCTTAAAGAGGACGTTTCAAGCTTCATTTTGCATTTCTGCGCATATTTGTATCTTCATTATTTACCAAGTTATGATCATTTGAAATTTTGTAATTTTTTCCCAAATTTTTAGTGTACCGGGTTTTTTGCGTTTGAGTGTATGTATATATTTCCATTTCTCAGATGTAGATTATGGTTAAGGAATTGCGGGCGTACAATTAAAGTTCCAATAGAGAACTTATATAAAACATACCGGATTTGTGGAAATCATTTTGATTCTACAATGTTTTTAAATAATTTAAAAAATCGCCTCCAACTATACGCAGTTCCAAAACCAATGAATCTACAAATAAAATCAGTCAAACATGTACAGGTCTACAAATAGAAAAACCAGCGAATCAACAAATAGATCAATCTGTACATGACTTTTTATTAGATTCTGACAATCACATATCTTTTTCATGTGAAGGTAAGCCGAACTACGATAATATAGAATCTTTTTTTATTTTTGTCGACTATTCTTTTTAGTATTCTAAGTTAACAACTACATGTTATTAAATAATCCAATTGTTAATTGAAATTGTAGAGCAGGATGTAAACGTTATGGATGAAGATAATCGAAAGGATCAGGAAGTACAAATTGAACAACTATCTGTTACACAAGATGAGAAAATACAAACCGATTCCACATTATCTATTAATTCACCCCGAAAAATCATATTGAAAAAGAAAATCCATTTGTTACAAAAAAAATTACGGAAAGTTAAGAAACAATTAAAGCAACAGAAAGCAAGTTATACAAAAAAGATTAAGAAGCTCTCTCTACCAATAGAATATTGTGATGCAACAGATCAAATACCATCTATTGCGTCCTTTGTGAAAGCACAAGTACACCTGGCTCAAAAGTCGCCAAAGGGTAGGAAATTTTCTTTGGAATTTAAAAAAATGTGTTTTACTTTATACCTCAGTGGACGTAAAACCTATGAAGTTTTATCAAAATAGTTCTGTTTGCCTAGCACAAGAACTTTACAACGTATAATCGAAATTTTAAAATTTTTCCCGGGTTGCAAATTAATGTTTTTGATATTTTAAAAGCTAAAGTATCTACTTTTAAAACTATGAAAAAAGCAAAGCTTTTCGCAAACAATGCTTTGGTCAACCAAACGGATAACAAAACAATTTCTTGAATTAATTTCAATCGCATTCTACTATAACAAAATTGTTATTTAGAGCTTAATTATAAAAATGTTATGTTGAAATTTGGAAAATCATCATAAATTATGACGTCTATCGATAAAATAGCTCACAATTTGTCGATTCAATTTTCCATTAAAAATAACATTGTAAATAATGTGTAAATAGTGGGCGTTAATTAACAACATCCTGTATACATCTAGTCATTTTTCACTTTTTTGATTATGAATGGACTAATTTTATGATCCAGATATATACGAATGCTATCAAAAAGTTGACGAAACATCAAACAGATCGATATATTTATACAATTATATATTAATACAATAAAATGTTTTCCTAATGAAGTGTATGTATATTTGATATTCCATATAAAATGTGTTCTAATATTCACGATATTCACCAGTATAAAAAATCTATAGTTTATGTTATGTTATGTTACGTTATATAGTTTATGTATATGTTTATAGTATAGTTTATGTTATGTTACGTATTCTATAGATTTTCAATATTAGCTGTAAATATCGGAATACAGCCTATGATACGACTGAACAGTAAACTGTTTATTAGAAAATAAATCATTTTATATGTTAACGTAACTCTAATTTAAGCGCTTGTACTACCTTCAACATGGCATCGAGTCATGTGACCAGGGACCCACTACATCAAAGATGCCGACGCTCAGTGTCAATACTGTATATACTTATACTATGGTTTGGATAGGTTTAGAAAGGATTTCGTAAGTTCTAGCGGTTTTGAGAATCTAGGGAGGAAAAATTTAGGTTGAAGACGTTATACAGAGAGAAGCCTGAGAGCGGGCATGACTGCATTTACAGCGTTATCGAAAAGTTGGCTGATTCGAAGCGCCAACTGGGTTCATTTTTCATGGACATGAACTACTAAGCCAATGTCCATGATTTGTTGGTACTACTCCGTGCTATGTCCATAATTATTTGGTTCTGTTCTGTGCTATGTTCACGAACGAGCTAGATTAGTTAGATAAAAACGGATAATCGGTCTTTGTCTCACCACCAGCGAATAGACAATGGCGACGATAAACTGAAGCGAGCCAACAGCGATCTTATCGTAAGACAGACATCGGCGTCCCCCCTTTCATCTCTTGATTTTCTTTTCACGTTGCTTTATATTCATAATTCAGGAAGAAAATTATTTCGAGAGTTCGGACGATTTCTAGCAATGACGCGACAAAGATAACGCACGGCAACATTAATTTGTCATGATTTGTATATTACTTACAATTACATAATCTCCCATATATACAAATTATAGATAATTATTGCGCGTATGCTTTAATATTGTACAATGGTATATAATAACTTCATTTTTTGCAGTAATATTTTTAAGATCTTTGTTGAGGTCGTGAATTAATTTTTCCTTTATCAATCAGATTTTGCAAAAAGTAAGATTTTTTAAATAAAATATAAAATGTTTCTCTTTTCTTCTCTCCGAAGAGTTAATTAAAAATATGTACTCCACAGAGTCAACTAAAAACACTGGGTGAAGTAAAAAGTTCTGAGCGTTTTTTCTCTTTATTTCGACGATGAAATTAACAAAGTTAGGATTATCAGATTTAGATCAAATATGCGCTGTTTTGTTCGATAACTTTTGTCCATTTTGAAGGTAATTTCATAATTCCGCGATTGAAGAAGTCCTCATCCCTATTGGTAAAAAACTTGACCAGCTCATTTTCACAAGCCTCTCTTGAGGCCAATTTTGTACCATCAAGAAAATTTTGCAAATGCTTGAAAAAGTGATAATCGCTTGGAGCCAGGTCTGGATTATACGGCGGGTGCGATATAACCTCCCATCCAAACTCTCGGAGCTTCTGGCGCGTCGTCAAAGATGTGTGCGGCTTGGCATTGTCTTGATGGAACACAACACCCTTCCTATTGGCCAATTCTGGCCGCTTCTCGTCGATCGCCTGCTTCAATCTGGTCAGTTGTTGACAGTGTAGATCCGAATTGAGTGATTGGTCCGATGGGAGCAGCTCATAGTGGATGATTCCTTTCCAATCCCACCAAACACACAGTAAAATCTTGTTAGCCGTTAACTCGGGCTTGGCGATTGTTTGGACCGGCTCACCGCGCTTGGACCACGATCTTTTTCGTCTGTTGTTCTCATATGTGACCCATTTTTCATCGCGTCACCATCCGCTTAAAAAATGGGTCGATTTCGTTACGTTTCAGCAAAGAATCGCAGGCATGAATTCGGGCCAAAAGATTCTTTTGCGTCAATTCGTGTAGCACCCATACATCGAGCTTCTTCTTGAGACCAGCCTTATGCAAATGGTTCCAAACGGTTTTCTGGCTAATCTTCAGTTCCTGGGCAATGGAATAAGTGCCCGCATGTCGGTACGACTCGACGATTTCCATGACTTTATCGACATTTTCGACGATTGGCCTACCAGAGCGTGTCTCGTCTTCGACGTCCATATTAGCAGAACGGAATCGTTGAAACCACCGCTTTGCTGTTGCATTCGATACTGTATTGGGTCCATAAACAGCACAAATTTTTTTTGCCGCCTGCTCCGTATTTTCCCTTTGGTCGTAGTGGTACTGAAGAATGTATCGAATTTTCTCTTTTTTTACCTCCATTTTAGAACGCTCTAACACTTAACTGGCTTCACCAAACACAAAACCGTCAAAGAACTTTTTTTAAAGCGTTATGTCACCTTTAAGTCGCAGTATAGAATGACCAGATGCGACGTATACATCGTGAGATATTTAGGGCATTTTGATATCCTCTTGCTCTCTGATCGATTGCAAATGGAGGTTAGGTTTCAAAATCAACTTAGGCGTGTTCGTCTTCTAAACTCTTTATTGTGCACGTGCCTGCCTGTCGCAGAGCACGTGAATCACAGATGTGGCGTAAGCCTCGGAAGTACAAGACAATTGTTGCGCTCGCACGGCATACGAGTCACAGCGGGACTTGTATGTGTGTGGACAGACCGGGGCCGATGCACCTGCCTGCTTGCTCTCGCACACACACGACCGCGTGTAAAAATCACGGTATCACACAAAACAACGGAAGAAAACGGAAGAGAAAATCAAAGCTATAAACTAGCAACTGTATATCTGTGCGCTCTGTGAGCGCTTCCAACGGTTACTACTTTCCGTTGCTCTTTTTTCCCGCACGAGTGAGACTTGCGCGCGCTCTATAGTGCTGCACGAAAACAGATGCGTGCGCCTTGGGGAACTCAAAGTCTCCACAGGTACTCCCCCTCAGTGCCTCTCTAGGTAGAGAGGAACGAAACTTGTTTTTTTCTTTTCGCGTACGTTTTGATTTGCGGCGCGAACGAAGTGGACGGACGCGGATCATTTGTTTGCGGCTGTCCGGAGCCGTTATCTTCTAGTACAGTGAACGCAGGTTTCAGCGACTCTGTTGACAAAGTTTTTTCCTCACCATTGATATGCACGAGGAATACGCGGTCTGTTATTCGCCTGATTACTCGGTGAGGACCCTCATTCGGCGGATCGAGCGGCCGGCGAACAGAGTCAATGTGACGGAAGACGCGCGAACAAGTGTACAAATCTCGGAAAACGAACGGTTTCGCGTTTGTGTGATGAACTGTTGCAGTTGGACGGATCTTACGAATATACTCGCGGAATTTTTCTAGAAATATAAATGGATCAGCCGGTGGTTTCTCATGAACAAAAAATTCATCCGGTAATCGTAGTGTTGTGCCGAAGAGAAGCTCTGCTGGAGACGCTTGCAGATCCTCCTTCACGCATGTTCTCAGGCCAAGAAGAACGGTTGGTAAGATGTCCGACCATGGTGTTGGTGCGTGGTATCTCAGCGCTGCCTTCAGGGTACGATGCCAGCGTTCGATGAGTCCGTTCGCTTGTGGATGATACGGCGTAGTGCGAATCCGAGTTGCGCCAATTAGTCGCGCTAATGACTGAAAGAGTGCAGATTCAAATTGCGTTCCTTGATCTGTGGTGATCGTCAGTGGAGTTCCGAAGTTGCATATCCAGTAATTGAAGAGAGCGGATGTTACAGTGCCTGCTTCAATGTTCGGTAGTGGAAGTGCAACTGGCCATCTCGAAAAATGGTCTATGATTGTGAAGCAATAGCGGTTACCTCGTACAGGCGGTAGCTCTATCAGGTCCAAATGGATGTGATTGAATCAGTTGTCCGCTGCTTCGATGTATTCAGGCTGTGGTTTATTGTGCCTGCTGACTTTCGATCGCTGGCATGGTAAACACTCGCGTGCCCAGCGAGAAACGTCTTGGTTGATGCCTGGCCAGATGAATTTTTGTTTGATGCACTTCAGCGTTGAGCGAGCGCTCGGATGAGCCGGACCATGGATGGCGTCGAATGCCTTGCGTAGAAGTGGTTGTGGTAGGTATGGTCGTACGATGCCCATTGAGATGTCATACCAGATGTCCTCTTTCTCAATTCGAAGATGGTTCAGCTCGAGCGACGTGAATCTTACGATTTCTGCGAGTTCTGGATTTGCTTCCTACGCTTTTGCAATGATTTTCGCTGAGAGTGTGCTTGGCATCTTAATTGCGCTGATCCTGGAGAGCGTGTCTGCAACCACATTGTTTTCGTCTCTCACATGGACTATGTCCGTGGTGAACTGCGAGATGTAGTCCAGTTGTCTCAGTTGGCGTGGCGAGCTCTTTTCTGCCTTCCTGCTAAAAGCGTATGTTAGCGGTCGGTGTTCGTACCTGGAATACTCTTCCTTCAAGTATGTGCTTGAAGAATTTGACGGCAACGAACACAGCAAGAAGCTCTCGGTCATATGTGGAGTACTTCTGCTCGGCCGGAGAGAGTTTCCGTGAGAAGAATCCAAGCGGCTGTCAGTGTCCGTCTATCTCCTGCTCGAGTGACGCGCCTATAGCGGAGTCAGCAGCATCGGTCGTCAATGTGAGAGGTGCATTCGGAGCGTGGAAAGCTGAGTGTGTGGCAGCTGTCAATGCGTCCTTGCATTTCTGGAATGCAGCCTCTGTCTCCGCTGTCCAGGCAGACAGCACTGAAGGATGCGAAGAAGAGGGATAATCTCTCGCTTGTCCCTCTTCTTTGCATCCTTCAGGTGTCTAGTTAGCAGAGCTTGCTGTTGAGCGGCCTTCCGTAATACTCGACGGTAATAGTTTACCATCCCCAAGAAGCGGCGCAGATCTGCGATGGTCTTGGGTTTTGGGAACTGTTGAATGGCTGTTACCCTGTCGAGTGGTGGTTTAAGTCCAGCCTGTGAGACGGTGTAGCCGAGATAACGCACAGAGTTGTCCAAAGAAGGATTTGGTCGCATGGACTGGAAAGTTGTTCTCTTGGAGCACTCTGAGAATGGCATCAAGATGTTAATGATGTTCTTCATGACTGTCTGAGAAGACGATGATGTCATCCACGTAGCATGCAGCAAAGTTGATCCCGCGCAATATATTGTTTATATGCCGTTGGAAAGTTTACGTGGCATTTCGGAGTCCAGGCGGCATGCCTAAGTATTCGAACAGGCCGAAGGGTGTCGTGACAGCGGTTTTGGGGACGTTCTCCGGTGCAACAGGAATTTGGTGATAAGCTCGGATTAGGTCTAGCGTGGAAAAGACCTTTTTCCCGTGCAACTGTTGCAGGATGTCCTCTATTCGTGGAATCGGATATCTGTCTGGAACAGTTTGAGAATTCAGACGCCGATAATCACCTGTTGTGCGCCAGCCACCCTGGTTTTTCTGCACCATGTGTATCGGACTCGCCCATTGACTGCGTGAAGGTTGCACGACCCCGAGATGCAAGAGAAGGTCGAAGTCTGCCTTGGCGGCTGCCAATTTGTCACCTAGAAGTCGTCGTGGACGCTTGAACACTGGAAGTCCTGTGGTTTCTATGTGATGTGCGATCCCGTCAAAGCGGATCGCTGAAGGAGTTGGCCTTGGTGCGAAAACTGCAGCGTGCGAGTCCAGTAGTGTGGTATATGCCTCTCGGTGTGGTGAGTCCGGAAGATTGTGCTGGCTGGTTGCGGAGACACTAAAAATGGTTGTCTTACATACCTGACCCTGTGTGGCAAGGCTGGTTTTTGAATCCACAAGGCGTTGTCGAGAAAGATCGATGATTAGACCGTAGTGTGAGAGAAAATCAGCTCCGATGATCGCCGAGTTCACATCAACAATGATGAATGACCGTTTTAATGCGCGGCGAAGTCCGAGGTCGAGGGTGAGCGGCTGCTGACCAAATGTGCAGATGGCTGATGAATTGGCAGCGAATAGTTGTAGCGAATAGCGGTAGGAGTGAGCTTCCTGTGCACGCACTTCCGAGGAATCAGCGAAACAACGGATCCACAGTCGACCAAGAACCTAATGTTCGTGGTCCTGTAAAAAACGTGGAGTCTTTTCTCACTAGGCGCTGTTATACTGTCGCCGATTGCCTGTGTCGACGGCAGCGACGTCAGTTTCCCGCGCTATTTGCATTGGTGGCTTGGAGTGTAAAGCTGCGCGGCTGCTGGCATCGTCTCGCAGCAGCACCGAAGCGGCGGTGGTAATAGCACCACTGGCTGGTTGGTTGCTGAGTGTGGCTGTTACGAGAGCGCGACCTGGAACATGTACGTTGACGCTGGGTGGGCAGTCCCTGGTGGACAACAGCAGGCAGCAGGCGCTCAAGTAGAGTTGTCAGGTGTGCGACGGACTGTTGCATGGTGGTCACTGCTTCTCCTAACCGCTGAATGGTTTGGGTGTCGGCAGAGGCTGTAGTTCCCAGTCGACCTGGTGACAGTGAATGTGGTGCAGCAACTGCAAGAACTTGAGATGTAAATGAGCCTTCCATGAGCTCGTCTGCAACTGTTGAGAGATCCTCTAAACAGGTTGTCCAAAGGATCTTGAGGACTCGCTGTATCCCGGGTGGTAGAAGTGCTAGCCAGTGCACTCGCAGGATGTCCTGTGACACTCGGTCGCCTGCAAGCATCCTCATGTGACGGAGGAGTTGCGAGGGCTTGCGGTTGCCAAGCTCCAAGTCTGTGAGTAGACGGTGGAGCTGCTTGTCTGCTGAATCTGCGAAACGTGCAAGTAACTGCGTTTTCAAAGTGACATATTTGTCAATGACAGGTGGTGATGCCAGGTTGTCCGCTATTTCCTGAATTGCTTTAGAGTCGAGTGCACCGATGACAAGGTGATATCTGCCATCATCAGAGCGGACACGATGTATCTGGAATAGTGATTCTATTTGAGCGAACCACAGAGCTGGCTGTTGTTTCCGAAACGGTGGAATTTTACACGTTGTAATAGACTCGATCACATTGTCGCTGAACGGAGGCTTCATGTCAATGAGCGGCTCCAATTGGGGTCACACCGGCAGGGCCAAGCCACGTCGAACTACCTCACGGGAGTGAGGTAGTTCGACGTGGCTTGGCCCTGCCGGTGTGACGGGCGGCTGCTCCTGTCCCCTGGAGGGGTGCGATGCAGCGACATTTTTTTAATTAGAGTTTTTATCGTTACCGAACTGCACGTGTCACACTCACGATGACTGCATGCGCACAGCAGAGTCTCAGCTAATCAGAGTCTGTCACGCATGCGCCGATGGTCACCACGCGCACAGCACCGATTCTCCGACTAATCAGAGTTTGTCACGCATGCACCGATAGTCACTACGCGCACAGCACCGAGTCTTTAACCAGTTAGAGTCTGTCACGCATGCATCGAGGGTCACTACGCGCTGTGACGTGGCGGCCGTGGAGGCGCCCGTCACAGTGCGGACCCTCGGTCCCTACGCGAGAATTGCGGGGGGGGAGATTACCGCGCGAGATTTGCGGGGGGGGAAGCCGAATTGCCCCCCCCCCCGAAGTAATTAGACATTAGAGTTAAGAGCGTGCAGGTGCGACGGTCTCGCGTCCCCAAAATTTGTGCCCTTGGACCTCTCGAGCCGGCCACCAGGACAGAAAGACCAGGAAGGATGCCGAAGACGTCGCTCATCGCCCGACGCGGCCAGATCAGGTGATTACGCTCTTTTCTCGTCTCGTCTCAGAAAATTAATCGTTATCCCGCAAAAATTATCGCTGTCGTGTATTATTCAACAGGCTACAACGACAACACGGACGAGGCAACGAGATACCGTCGAGCACGTTCTCGACGCATGGGCCGCTAGCCGAAAAACAACGGCTAGACGGACCGAGAGCAATGCTCGCGGGACGCCGAGAGCGAGAGAGAGAGAGAGAGAGCGAGAGACGGAGAGAGAGCGAGCGAGAGAGAGCATCCGTTCCGCGGATTGTCAACAAAATTCGCGGAAGGATTCCCGGAAGGAAAAAAAGCAACAAAGATGAGAGACGAGAAAACTCGTTTTTCTCTCTTAATAATAAGATTGGTTTTCGTCTCGCAAAGAAGACCGATTAGCTTGGCCTCTCAAAGAGATTCGTTTTTGGACTCGCCACGGAGAGAAAGAGTGCGTTGGTATCCTCGAAACAAAGGATTGTTTGGTGTTCCGCCCTCATTAGAGGAAGTGATATCGTACCGCTCTCGAAACGTGTCGATCTCGATTGAGAAGAAGCGGGGTGCAGTACCTGGCCGTACTGAGCGAGGCGAAACCGGGGGAAAAGACGACCGCTGACTCCACGACCGGATCGACCGGCATATAGACCATCAAGGACCCCGCCGCCGGGAGGTTCCCGAAATTTTGTAAGATCGTCCACCTGCAATTCGTTCAATGTTCTGTTTACGTGTCGCGTCCCGAGAAATTCATTGTGTGCGTCGAGCGGTATCAACTTCGCGTAGGAGCGACGGGGGAAGATTAATTGTACCGTCCCGTAAGCATTTCGGAGCATACCGGCTCCCGGAATAAAGCCAGATTATCGCAAACATTCGCGTTCTTCTTTCTTTGTCTGCTTCCTTCTGATTGCCGCCAGAACCCATCCCGTCTACCGACTATTCCCATAGAGCTACCGGGTCCGTCGGACTCTCGCGTCGCGGCCGACCGTTAGTTATCTTTTTCGTGTTGGTGATCGGTGCGGCTATCCGCCCCTGGCGCCCAACAACTTCGTGCGAGTACGAACGGCCGGGGCGCGTGGGCCGACGGCAATTTGTCGACGGTAAAGAAAATAACGTCGCAGCGCACAGCACAGAGCCTTCAACCACTCACAGTTCGATTCTGCCTTTCGTCGAAGCGACGCTGTCCGATGGTGGCGGAATCACCCGATGCGGATAAATGTTTTCAATTTTTGGAAAGTTTGAATTTTTACCGGTCGGCAAGGTGACCTCAGCTAGAAGGTCCATTGGATTAGGCACAATGTCTCTCTCTTCTTTCGTTGCACTGCGAATCTTGTCCGGTTACCAATTTAGGTGTCGGGATCACCAATTTAGGATATTTTGATGTCCTCTTGCTCTCTCGTCGATTGCAAGTGGAGGTTAGGTTCCGAAATCAACCTAGGCGTGTTCGTCTTCTCTCTTTATTGTGCATGTGCCTGCCAATCGCAGAGCACGTGAATCACAGATGTGGCGTAAGCCTCGGAGGTACAAGACAATTGTTGCGCTTGCACGGCATACGAGTCACAGCGGGACTTGTATGTGTGTGGACAGACCGGGGCCGATGCACCTGCCTGCTTGCTCTCGCACACACGCGACCGCGTGTAAAAATCGCGGTATCCCACAAGACAACGGAAGGGAACGGAAAAGAAAATCAAAACTATGAACTAGCAATTGTATATCTGTGTGCTCTGTGAACGCTTCCAACGGTTACTACTTTCCGTTGCTCTTTTTTCCCGCACGAGTGAGACTTGCGCGCGCTCTATAGCGCTGCACGGAAACAGATGCGTGCGCCTTGGGGAACTCAAAGTCCCCACAGATATGACCTCACTAAAGCCATCTAGCGGAAAATGCTCAAAACTTTTTACTTAACCCAATATATACTCAGAAGAGTCAATTTAAAAGTGTACTCCGAAAAGTCAATTTAACAGTGTATTCCGAAGAGTCAATTTGAAAGCGTACTCTGAAAAATCAAACTGATATTGTAATCCGAAAAGTCAATTTATAATAGAACATTTATTTCGATGATTCAGCTAAAGAAAGAATATTTATTATTATATCGAGAGAATAATATTTAATTTATTATTTATACTTACCTTACTTACGCTTACCTTCTTTGAATGAAAAATTTAATTTGTCGACTGATTCAGATTCAGATTTGTTAAAATATCTCTTATGCGCAACTTTTGAACAGATAGGTAGTAAAATATTAGGTGCACAACTAAGTTCTCGCTGTTTTTTTGATGAAAATGCAACTTTATTGTGAAAAAATGGTTACAAATGAATCATTCAAAATATTGCCCATCGCTAGCGACAACTTTTTCCCATCTTTCTGGCAGAGCTCGAATACCGTCACGGTAGAAGTGTTCGTCTTTTGAGGCTATCCACGAATCAAGCCATTTTGAGATGTCTTCATATGAGCGGAACTGCTGATTAGCCAGACTATATGCCATCGAACGGAACAAGTAATAATCGGACGGCGCAATATCTGGGGAATATGGCGGGTAGGGTAGGACTTCCCATTTGAGCGTTTCTAAGTAGGTTTTAACGGATTTGGCAACGTGAGGCCGAGCGTTGTCATGCTGTAGAATCACTTTTTGGTGCCTCTGCTCGTATTGTGGCCGCTTTTCGCGCAGTGCTCGGCTCAATCGCATCAATTGAGTTCGATACCGTTCCCCAGTGATGGTTTCGTTCGGTTTCAACAGCTCATAATAAATAACACCGCCCTGGTCCCACCAAATACACAGCAAAACCTTCGCAGCGTGAATATTCGGCCGAGCCAACGACGTAGAAGCATGACCGGGCAGTCCCCATGATTTTGTTCTCTTTAGGTTGCTGTAATGAATCCATTTTTCATCACCCGTAACGATGCGATGAAGAAAACCCTTCCTTTTTTGCCGCTGAAGCAGTTGTTCACAGGCGAAAAAACGACGCTCAACGTCTCTTGGCTTCAAATCATAAGGAACCCAAGTTCCTTGTTTTTGAATCATTCCTAACGCATGCAATCGCTTGGAAATGGCTTGGCGGGTAACTCCTAATGCTGAAGCAAGCTCTTTTTGCGTTTGGCACGGATCCTCATCGAGCAATGCCTCCAATTCAGCGTCTTCGAAGGTTTTTGGCCTTCCTTCACACGAACGGTCGTCAACATCGAAATCACCGTCTTTAAAGCGACGGAACCAATCACGGTACGTTGTTTCACTTAGAGCAGCATCTCCGTAAACTTTTTGGAGTTCTCGATACGCTTCAGCCGCCGTTTTCTTCGAATGAAAGAAGAAAAGCAACACTTCCCGCAAATGACGATTATTTGGCACAAAATAAGACATTTTCACACAACCAAAAGTATATGACGCAAAAACAAAATAACTAATGTGTCAAAGCGGTTTGTTTACCATATGTCTAAGCTTGGTTCATGACGTTTTGGTTATGTCACAATCGACCAGCACTTACTACTGGAGCCATCTCTTGAAAAACAGCGGGAACTTAGTTGCGCACCTAATAATTTTCTTTCTTTACGAATTTTATAAACTTTTCACTAACATAAAAATTGAAAGATTCTCAGAAAACAAATAACTTTTCTTGAACATTTAAACCAAAGGAAAATCTTTTCCCATTAATAAAGAATGAATAATTAATATCTCACACAAGAAGAATCTTCATCCTTGAAATCACCGCGCGATTTTGCTTTTACAAAAATGTAATATTGATGTAATAGTAACAAATGCTATCCAAAAACGGTGCAAATCTTAAAGGTTTTCGAAAAATGCAGTTTGAAGTTAATCTTTTCTGTTAATATCGTTATAGCAGAAGAATTACCAATTTGCTTCAGTAGCGCAGTGGATCAGGCTTTGTGATATGAGCGTAGAGGTTGTTCAAGTGTGTTATTTTTACTATCTCAGGGAGAACTATGTAGAATGTATAATAATACGCAGACAAATTCTTTACATAATCATACTTGTTTCTTTTTAGCGTGAATAAAAATGATCAATGCTAACATGATAAGTGTATATCGCAATTGTACGTGTATACATATACACACACATACACATGTATTGGGTGAGTGCAAAAGTTCGTGCGGAGTTTGTGAGTAAAAGTCACACAGTGATTAGGCAAACAAAAATCTTTATTCAATCAATGATATATTCCCCATCGTTTTCTATAATCTTTTCCCAACGTTCTGGCAGCATACGGATGCCTCGATCATAAAAACTGCGCGGTTTAGATTCGAAGAACGAAGAGACGCCGTTTTTTAAGGCCTCCAAAGAGTCAAAGTTTTTTCCATTTAAATAATTTTGCAATGACCAGAACAAG